TATATGAACAGGTCCCAGTCCGAGAAAAGGATGGAAGGATCCTGTTCATATGGACCTGTCGTCAGACAAAATACTAAATAAAATAAATAAATATAAATAAATTACAACGCACAGGCTCATACAAACCTTAACTCTTTCTTGCCGAGTTCTTGTAAAGCGAAGCTAATTACCACATTGACATTTTAATGTAATTTATATTAATCACAGTGGAGTTTACTTTTAACTGGCGCTGTTAAGTATCACATTTAAAACAAGAGAGAATTAAATCTGTGAACGCTATAATAATTTGTTTTAGCAACAGAATGGTTACCGGTAATTCTGCCTACAAAATGTTGACTCTGTTGTATTTGCGTGGGCCTCTCTTCCAAGTACATATTATTTTCCTGTTCGTACAAAAGTGACACCCCGCCATTTCAGTCTAAAGCTGAATCTAATTATCCTAATGAACCTTCCCTTGTTCTGTGGAGTGTTCTCTGTCAGCGATGTCCGTCGGTACCCGAGTCGCCAGTACGGGGCCTGTCGTCATGGCAACCGAATGAAGAGATCGGAGAACAGCCATCATATGCTCATATGTCAGTCTGTCTGTGTGTATTCGTGCGTGTTTAGATATACCGTATAGAAAGAGATTTGAGTGTAGTTCAGCAAGATGATTTTGCGATGAAAATATAGGGGTTGACAAAATTTTCATTACCACAGGCCATATTCGTTGTTCATATCATTGTCGACGGCCGTAGGACAAAAAATATTAATAAAGTCGAGGATATTGAGCGAAACTGTGTAACTTAAAAAGTGCAGCTACTATTCAATTGAAACGGATAATAGCTATATTCCTTCTCCATACAAATGAGTTTATTATAAAGACGTTTGTTGGTCTTCAGAAGGTTTTGATTTCAAGAAATTCTTAATTCTATAACATTTCAGTTATTAATACGACACTAATTTTGCATATTGTTCTGTTAGATTTATAGAGTTTGAACAATGAAACAATATACCTTTACGCTGTAACGTGATTTAACGTTATAGCCCTGCATCTATAAAATGTTTCTTTCATTTCTTGCGATTAAACAAAAACCCTAAGACAACTTATAAGCCTGTGTATTTACATTAATATTTTCCTCAGAAGGAAAATATATTTGCGCTTCTCACACTGGCTAATCCCCAAATCATGTCAGCGACCCCATACAAGGGCTGCGAAGGTCACATGCGACCCGCGGGCCACAAGTGACCTGCTCTATAACAACCGTATATGCGTGCTGTACTAGTCGGAATATCAATAGGGATGAGAACACTTGAATGGCCGAGGTAAGATCTCAGGACAGTCGGTCTCCTGAATACGAAACCGCTGTGCCTCTACACTCGAGTCAAAGCGATGCTTATTTTTCAGTTGCCTGTATTATATTATACATTACATACGCCTGTGTATTATGCAGTCTCTCATTTATAATTATAGCTCTGTTGAAATTGGAGAGAATCTTGTGAAATATACAGGCTGCTCTAAATTTGAGTACATCTCTTTACTTTTATTTTATAATGTACATTCTTCATATACTGAAGAGGCTGATTTCCGAAAAAAGGTATTTGAGCAATCTAAGAAATATCACTATAATTACGACTTTCTGTACAAAGCATTTTGATGTTACGTTTCATGTACATATATGCTAGAAAACATAATTATAATGGCGTAATTTTTATATTTACATCTTGATTCAGTTCGTGAGCGAAGAAATAAATAATGGACTATTGAAACGTGGCATAAATTTAACTCATACGAAGTGGAGAATAACAAAACCGATTTCGTTGTTTTGACAGCTGAGCATTGTGATGTTGACAGCATCGCAGCGTTAATTAACTCGAATGAAAATAAGGTGAAAGAAATATGACTTATTAAAGTATCTGCTTCAACTCAGAAAGTGTAAACAACAAATCCGACAGTTAATTAAGGAATAAATTAAATGGGAATGGGATTCCTTCTGAAGTATGAAGCTGCATGTTGTCGCTGTTTCACTCGAAAGTGAGCTATAGTATGAATCTGTTACGGAGGATCGTCGTAGTAAAATTCCTAATAGTAAGATACGTCTGACGGGCGAATATTACCGTGTTCTTCTCTTTGAAACACTGTTTCATTGCTATTTACTTATCGTTGTTAGTTTTGACTTGCCACATTTAATTCAGTAATGGAAAAGCCGCCATCTTAGAGACCAGGGTTTTAATGCTGGTAACAGTGTAGGAACACAGGTAGAACAATGGGTAAAAAAATAACACGTCACTGACTTCTACAGACAAGAGACAGAAAAGGCAGTCCATGGTGCAAACATCCCAGCCTTCGTAGGGACTATGGAGGAAATACTTTACAAATCGTACATGACATTGCATTATTCATATTAAAAGATCCAACGAAACACATCAAGTTTACTTACTGACTGCCACCTGTCTCTGGACTTTAGATTGATGGAAAATGAATATGACTGTGAAGATTTCTTCATACTCACCGCTGTGAAAACCTCAAATCTTACGAATATGATTCAAAGATGTTACGCCGAATAGGCTAGTATAAATTGGCCGACGTTTCACAGGTGCTTACCGCCCCCAACACCAGAGCGTTCGCCCTGAAACATATTTAGACCATTACTCTCAGGGTAATGAAATGGTTGGCATTTAGAAGTTTCAGTCATAGTTCAGAGAGGAGAAGCATGAAATGCATTCACTATTTTGATTTGTAAACGTTTTGGAAAGTGATAAACTGGAAGTAAAAATGGGTCTTAGGGAGACAGGTTGCAAGGATGGGAATGGATGTAACTTATTTTTGATCCTGATCAATGGCTGGCTTTGATATTAGTGATGTTGAAATTTAAGGTTTTGTCAGGTAGTTAGTTTCTTGTCTAGCTAGTAAAATTGTGTCTTCCATGATGATCCTACTTCTCTTTAGTCTTTATAACCTTATCTTAGTAATACGTGATGCAGTAGTAAAATTCCGATCTTCGTACTGGACGTGAAGTTTATGACATGGTTTTTATTTCTTCTTTCTGGTTTAACAAATGCAGTGATACTTTGTAGCAGGTTATGACCACTTCTATCCCTGTGTACTGAACGTAATTATCATGCCGTTATGACCACTTCTATCCCTGTGTACTTAACGTAATTATATGCTATCTTAGAATCCTTGCAGATGGAGTTGCGTTTTCAGATATCCCACGAGCCCACCAAATAGGGAGCCTTCCTTGAGTAACAGACACTAATATGCTTAAGAATATGAAACTGGAAGGCTAATCCTCTTCCTGTGCTCGTGACGTCAACTGTCTAAGACCCCATCCCCCCCTCCCCCAATCCCTTCTTCAGAGGGATGTAATATGTTCGCAGAAAGCCTTCTACAAACTTATCGTTACGTAATACGATTTGTAACAGACGCTTACATGCTTTCTGTCGTTGATTAAAAGATGTCTAGTAGCATACTTTTATGCTGACGGTCAATTCCCGAAACGTCGTCTATATTAAATACACCTCATTGGACAGGGGCGATTATCTAGTGAATGGGTCATTGTCACGGACTTTAGAGAGCCATTTCTGTTCTGCAGCCATAAAACGATCTTTCGCGTTACGGGTCGGCCCGACTCCGGTGCCTGCATTCACGGTCACAAAAAGAACTCACTGTACAGCCGATTTAAAATGTATTAACTCGTGTAAACCTAATAGTATTGTGTTGTTTAAACTTTTGACTGTGATTTTTTACCATAATTTAATGACATATTTTCTCCAGTTAAAATTGCTTATTTAAAATAACTACTTTGCGTAAATAAATTACCTTGATTTTTCTACCTGAAACTGACGTTCTTTTTCCGCAGCTATAAATTTTACTCGCTATGAAGAATGAGGTGGAGATGGAGTCAGTAATGGCTGAAGAGGGATGCAATTAGTTTATCTGTGGGAATTACATTTATCTTAAGTGCAGAATTCTGCTTGAGTAACAGCCTCATTGACGATAGACCGCCCCTTAATATTTTCTAAAGTGACAGGAGCGAATGTGTCAAGTTATGAGGTCCCAGTGAGGTGCTTTGTACTTGAATAGGCTGCGGAAAGACATTTTTATGTCCTAAAGGGAATCGTGTTTTAAATTTCAGACAGTAACAGAAAGCTGTTTGCCATTTATACACACATTTACTCACTGAAATATTTATTTATTTGGCCACGCATTTGTTCAGTTGTTAGCAAAATGCTTTACTTATGTTTCCGAAACTCTTCGTCGAGTAGTTAACATACTTGTTAAACATACTGAGATTTCTAAAAAAATTCCTTCCTCTTCTCTTGGTCTTCCTGGTTGAAGTGATAGATAACATCTTCCCACGGCCTTCTGGATTCATTTGTCTCCAAAGTTATTTCTTCCAGTCCACCTGGATCGTTAAGTCGTCAGGCGCTGATATAAAATAACGGACTGAGAAATTCAGGACTACACAGTAACGGTCAATCTAGGCTCTTATCTGGAAGTACGACAATCATATTTCGAGTAAGATACAAATTAATCCTAATTCAGGTTTCGGTATTTCTGCTCAGTTTTTATGTGAACGTTGGGTTTACTAACTTCAAGTAACCCACGTTCGCATCCATCCAAATCCTTACCTAAGCAGCATTCATTACTATCTTCCCATTTAAATAACACAAATTTATGCAGCTGAAACTGTGTTGTTAACTAACAGAACATTCAGGCGAAAGAGGGTTCAAAAACTGGAAATTTAATTAAATCTGTTTACTTTACACTGCATCGCCTTCATGGTCCGGCCGCTTTACCTCTGGGAGGAAAGGATGCTGGGTAGACCTTGGAATTCGCAATCCCCGCCGGGAATTAAATCTGGGCCGTCGAACCATGGCTGGTACTTTGACACGGAGACAAGTTAGTCTCTACCAGCACTGCGTATCTGCTGTTGAAGCTGTGACGTATATTAATTATAAATGTGCAGATTTTGTCCATTGAATTTGTATCTGATGCTGGACTGTCCGTGGTGTTGCAGGTTTCAGTGACCCATACTGCATGCTGGGTATCCAGCCGGGGAATGTGGCTCCTCCTTCACCGCAGCCCTCTTCATCATCATCCGGTGGGGGGCAGAGGGAAACCCCTCCAGGGTCACCTAGAAACCCGGCAGCAGGATCGGGCTCTGCCCGGGCCATGTCTGACAGCGGAGTGGAGTCAGAGACGAGCTCCAAACACGACTCGCCCCACGAGAAGCTGAGAAAACACCACAGGTGGGATTCTTTGCCTTTCCTTCTTTTCACAGGACTTAGAGGCACTTTGATTCGTGGACCTTACAACAAACAAACAAAATAAAAAGAACAAGAAAGGGGAAAACAAAAAATAATACAAAAAGAGACGACACATTACCAAATAAACAGTACAAGAAGAAACAGCAGCAAAACATACAATTGCAATGCAGAGAAATGGTACAAGAAACAGCAAAGTAACGGTGCAACAAAGGAATAACACAACAGCAAATTTGAAAAGTGTATACAAATACAAAGTAACAACACTGAAACAAATAAGCCTATAACAAACGGTACAATAATTATTAATTGAAAAGGACGTGGTTGTGGTACATTTTAATGTAATGGCTTGGTATTTAACTGGATAGACCGTACGCGTTTCGGCCCCAAGGGGTCATCTTCAGTGGCCAGACAATAGGTTACATATAATGCTACATCTCAAAATAATACTTCTAAAGATACATAAAAGTAATACTAATTCCAAATTGTATTCAAACAGGAGTACTGCCCGACTGTGATGAAAACGCGAGTCGAACTGGGTATTGTCATTACTATAAAATGTTTTCAAAAACTGGTGTACGTCTGACGTCAAAAGCCAACCTGTAATGAATGAGCAGAATGCCAATGATTCTAATGTGCTCTTTGATCCCGCAGTCAACAGAGACAAAACGAAATATTACTGAAATTAAGTTGGCAAGATTGATTTTCCTCAACACATGTATACCCACCCGGTAGTAGCAGCTCTGCCGACGTTCTCCACAGAACCCCACTCGACCCAACGACCGACCGCACGAAATCCACAGGATCGCAAGGCATCCATAGGAACATTGCCACGCTGGATTTGGTGCAGCAACATCAACACGACGAGTGTGGACAGTACATTAAGGATTAAGGTCTGCAGTGGAATGTGACGTGTGGTGACAACAACGATAGTGACTTTTCTGTTTTTTGAACGTCAGACTTCGCCAGTTTTTGAAAATATTTTATGGTAATGGAAATACCCAATTCGACTCGCGTTTTCATCACAGTCGGGCAGTACTCCTGTTTGAATACAAGTTGGAATTAGTATTTCGACTCTGTACTTTTATGTATCTTTAGAAGTATTATTTTGAGATGTAACATTATATGTAATCTGTTGTCTGGCCACTGAAGATGGCCCCTTGGGGCCGAAATGCGTGTGGTTTATAGTATAGCACTGCTCAGTGTTAAAGTTGTTGGTCATATAATTATATGTTTATCAAAAGTCTAACACTTTAGCTTACTCTTTCGATCCTTGCACACAATGTTTTTGCACTCGTGTCATTCATTCATTTTCAAATATTTTATAAGTTTTGTTTCTTTGTTGGTGTTTCTATGGTCTGCTTTTTTATTTTATAAGTTTTGTTTCTTTGTTGGTTTTTCTATGGTCTGCTTTTTTTTTTAACAAAACAGGCTTATAGTATCGTGATACTATCTAAATGAGCTTAATTTCTATATTTTTATGCTCCACGCAATTTAGGCTGGTGTCTTTTTCTTCTTAGTAGAGACTTCTTATGTATCTGTGTCTGCTTAGAAAGGTCGAAAAGTTCGTTTATTTCCATTTTATTATTCTTATATACGTGGATTATACTGAATCTCTTTACTGTTTTAGATGTTGTTATGCCGTTTCGTTTTTGTTTGCTGAAGGATTTTACGTTGCCCTTGTGACGCCTGACTTTGCATATAATCTCTGTAGGGTGCACTGGAATCATTAAAAAGCAAAACTTTCATTGTTCTACTAAATAACAAAAATGTAATTGGGCGTCAAGACTGCAAGAAAGTGGAACGTCACGTCGGTCTAATTGGGTCTGGAGAGAAACTGCTTAATAAAGCGGTCCAGAAAGACCCCACCATAATTCAGAAATAATTTCAAAGCTTTTCTCTCCCTTTGTGAACTTCAATTTCCGGATTACTTCCTGGATATTAATTTTTCCAAGTTCCTTTCCTCTTGTCTGTCATGCAGAGTGATGTCTGTATTGTACTTGTCCACCCTTCATATATGTCACCGCGTGTTTATTGACTCGCCAACAAATTGATTTATGAAGATTGCTGTCTTCTGGGTTGTTACGCCTTGCAGTCTGGTAGATGTTTATCGAAGTTTCAGAGGTCCTTCCATCGCCGTGATAATGGAGGTAGCAAGGACATCTGAAACGTTGGTAAACATCTACCAGACTGCAAGGCGTAACAACCCAGAAGACAGAAATCTTCAGACTCACCGTCGTGAAAACCTCAAATCCTACATACTGATTTATTTTTATTGGGTCACCGACTTACTGACGTGTTGACTGAATCGCTGACCCACTAACTCACTGACTGGACTTACTGTTTCGTCAGATTATTTACTTTAAGACTGAATTCATCGCTGTACGACAAACTGACGTATTTTGTGAAAGGCTTACTGCAGACTGACTCACTCTTTACTTCATCTGGCCTAGGACGAATTTAGGAAGATTTGACATTAACATAGAATTATTTTTATTTTGGTTTCTACCTGCCACGTAGAGGTGGATGTATATGTGAGCGACAAACCAAATTTCCCTTTTTATTTTTATATCAAACATTGTAGTCTGCGTCCGCTACTGGTCTCGTTAATTTAATACAACTGGATACCTGTCTTTTGTTTTTCAGAGCTAATCAACAGAATAGAAACAACAGTGCCTGCAGCCATATAATCTAGTGCTCATAAAATTAAACACGAATATTTTCTTTTTGAGACATCATTTCGTTAAATTTTCATTAAACTGAGAGTCACTCCGAACAAGAGCTTAGTTAGGACTCATTTTATGTTATGTAATGATTTTGTGTACGAAGAGTACATGTTATTACAAAAGATTTTATTTTGATTTGAGTTTAAAATAGAATAAGGTTTATATTGGGCAGATTTCTCCAACAGTTTTAAATTTAGATCCCGAACACAATATTTAATGGAAACCCATTAAATATTTTCGGACTTAAAACACGCTGCTTATGGACAGCTTATCATAATGAGTTCGATTTATGCACTTTGTGGAAAGAGCGCATAGCTCATCAGTACGTTTGGTATTCAGGCAGTAAAATGTTGCTCACACAGTTTCACACATCGTGTAATATTAATTGGTGACCTTTGATGTACCTTGCGCATAGAATTAAGCTGTCGATATGGCGGTATCCATGGCAGCACAAAATGGAAGCCACGTATGAAAAATTCATCATTTTGAATGTGTTATCAGAAATATTGAGAGAAAGTAAGTAACATTACTTATTTCTTCATAAGCTTAACGATATAGGTGTTACGTATGGTACCGAAGAGCGATAATGCCCGGAAGGGGGAAAAACACTGTCGATTTGTGGAATCAGTTGTCCATTTTACCAAATATCTTCCAGTTGCTTCGTATTAATTACACATTATTACAGAACTACAAATTAGCGATGGTGTCAGATACGGCCTTATTATATTTATATTAAGACCCATTTGAACCTCTTTGTTTTACAGATCGCAAATTGATAATGTTTGATTGCATTTTTTATATTCGAGATCATTTCCGAAAGAGCAAATAAGGATGTATGCTTTTCATTAAACTGCAACTTATTTAAGTATATTACTTGCATAGTCATGCAAACTTTTCCTTATGTGGGCCGTATTACCTGCTTGTAACTTAATTTAAGTCTTTGGAAACAAATGGCCCGGGAAAATATTTTGATTCAAGAGCATTGACATAAGGGAGGAATTTTGGATATTATTTTAATAGAAGCTTACACAAGTGACTTAAACAAGTTCATTGGTGTTGTTAGGATAATGAAATCGTGAAGGTTGTTGTGGGCTGGGCATGTTGATAGAATTGGATGGACAATGAATACATTCATTCATACGTAGTTGTACATTTATACATATACATTCAGAAGCCTATGTATACACGTTTCGAGATAGCTAAGTCAGTAAAGTGGCTGTCTATTCGCAGGATGATCTGGGTTCGATTGCCGGACGAAACAAGGATTTATCTCTCTGTCATCACGTCCAGGAATGTTCCTTGCCGAACTTCCTCCTCTCTTCCCGGCCTTGTATCGGTCGATGTCGTCTTTTTGTGTGTTTTCATATTCCCCGAGTGATTCCAACTGAAGACCCAGGTCCTGTGCTTTGTGCTTTGTTGTGCGCAGTTTCCGCCTGAGCTTCAAGCGGAAGGAGCACGGCAGTTACCGCAGCGAGAGGCGGGAACAGCGCGACAGTTTGTCCGCGGCAGTTCCTGCCAAATTCATCCGCGCCACGACAGTGAAGCCGCAGACTCTGAACCCGCGCTGGAACGAGAAGTTTCGATTGTGAGTTTATCCTTTGTACTGCCATGCCCGAGTATACTTCGGGGACGGAGGGTTTATGAAAAGGGTGTTAACCCGTCTAACATTTTGAAAAATGAAAGCTAAAGAAGTTTTACTTTCTTGGTCCAGCTACTGCCTTTTTATACCTCTTTAAGACTCAGAAGTGGAAGAAATTCCTACTGCAAAAAATCCACGTTATGCGTCTTGATATGACGCAAAGGTATATAAAATCTTAGTATGAAATAATATAAATTTATCGTTTCTTGCAGTGATATCGATGACGTTGCTAGTGACATTCTTCATCTGGATATTTGGTAAGTTTTTATAATGATTGGCATGATTATTTGTGTTAGTGTAGAAGTATTATAGTTAGACTGCTTGCAAAAAATATCTGGCTGATAGCCATCTGAACTTTCTTAAAATTGTAATTCCTTGTAGTACATGCAGTCTGCGTCACGTAAAACAATTTTAATAGGCTTTTGTTCGCAAAGAAAATTTGTATTTTTCATCAAATGGTAACGACTCGTAAGTAGAAGATTGTTATTCTACCATACTTAATATAATTTACGTTTTTAAGATTTATTCATATGGCCTCTTTACAGCGAGAATAATATATTGCCTTTCCTTCTAAATGTCTGAAAAACGCACTATATTCTATCTTTTCTTTTCCTATTTTCCTCTCGAGTTGAACTTTCAGTTTTTCTACTCTTATGAAAGGAAAGCATGGTCCAGTACGTTCGCATTATGCTGAACAGAGCCACCTGTCGGCGCAGTAGAAAGACATTGTCAGACAAGAAAATAAAATCGATTGTCAGTGATACGTTAACACATATGAGTCAGAAGGTGAAAGGTAATATGTTATTGTGTATGTACTGGCATCATCAGCACAGATGTTCCGAGACTTGACAGTGTCTCTGCGTGTGAAGAGTGTTACAAGCAGATGTTGTCGCACTGGTACGGCGTTTTCGATACCAGTCGCCAAATTTTCGGATACAGGATAAAGGAGATTATTTAAACAAAGAAACTGTAATGGAGTTCGGTTCCCGGCAAGTGTAAAAAGTTTTCCTTTACCACCATAGTTTCCAGCCCCCTTCTACCAGTCGTCTACCAAACGACCACCATGGATCTTTTACCCGGTTATAAAGCGGCCGGGTGTTAACGCTGATATTAACAATTTTAGGGTTAAAATCACAAAAGCTCTATTTTCACGACCCCTGTACAGCTTCATGGCGTATTGGAAGTGGCAGCTTTAGCATTGCTCAGTGAAATTGTAGACGCTTTCTAATGTTATAATGCCATTGATTGCACATTGGTGATTCCTCTGATGCAGGGACCACGATGACGAGTCATCGGTATTCGACGCCGTCAGTAAGCTGAACGAGGTGCGGGGGGTCAAGGGACTGGGTCGCTTCTTCAAGCAGATTGCCCAGAGCGCTCGGTCCGGCAGCCAGGACGACTTCCTGGGCTGTGTGAACGTCCCTCTGCAGGTAACCACTGTGAACCTGCACGATGGATCTACAGCAGTTGCAGCGTTTAGTTATTATGGACGTGTGGAATCTTTGCCTTTGCATGGTCACATTGCTGATTTGTTATTAGGTATTGCTCGAAAAATGAGAATACAAATTGGTTACTTTGCCGTAACAGAGAAAATAAACAGAACCGCTGTAAAATGTTACAAAAATAATAGCAGCAGTTTTTGTCAGAACTTCGTAACTTTTTCGATGGTAAAAAAATAAACCAAAAGAACTCTAAATTTTCATTAAGTAAGCCGAAAACGAAAATCTGACATTTCCGTCCTCTATTGATACTACAGAGTCTTCAATGTCCAAGCTGGGTCTACGTAGTGTAACTTGAAATACCAGTTTTGTGAAATAGGCTTGTTTTTGTGAATTTTCAAGACTCATGGATACATGCCACCGTTTCGCAGAAACATATTGTCTTCATCATCAGAACTGAAGTGACGTTGGGAAGTGGACGGATTTATGCAGGGTTCGATGAAAGGAAGGCTGAGGGAGGAGTGAACCAATCAGGAGCGAGGATTGAGGGGGAGGGGTCCGAGTCAATAGCGAGTCTCCAAACAAGCTCGTTTTTTATCTCCTATTTATCTGATTTTCAGGATATTCCATCAACTGGGCTTGATTGCTGGTACCAGCTAGAGGCTCGAACCCAGCGCTCCAACGTACAAGGCCGAATAAGACTCAAACTGTGGCTATCTACCCGGGAGGACCGAGGCAACTCGGAGGAGGACAACTGGTCCGAGATCCGACAGCAGGAGCGCCTTCACACGATCTTCATCTCCTATGAATTGGACCACATCTCGGTCAGACACCTTGAAACTTCTTTACTTTTCTCCTCTTTTCATGTTTCCTTCACACTATCTTTCTTTCTGCATTTTGTTCCTTCTCTTTCTGTTCCCTTTTCCATCCTTGTTTCATTTTTCTTTATTTATTTCTTCCTTTCTCTTGTAGTCAGTCCACTTTTACTATCTTAATTAACTTGTCTAAATCTTTCTCAGCGTCTGAATTGAATGAAGTCTTCTCGGGTGATCGGCCGAGCTTCCATCGTCTCGTAGATTGCCACCAGAAATCGTCCGGAAGACTTCACGCTACTTTCGGAAATGTGTAATGCCCATGCAATTGCAGAGTCCGTCGTGGGAGTGGAGTGGCGAGCTACCCCACGTCGCCCTCACGATCCTGCATCAGCACGCCATCCAGGGTGACGTGACGGACCTGCAGCTGGCCATGGTGCGATGGATTGCGTACTCGAACAAGGCGCTGGAACTACCGTTGGATTATAGGATACTTTACAGGCTGCTGCAAGAACTGGACCAGCAATGGAATTTACTAACCCTGACCAAGGAAGAAGTGAGTTATGCTTGACATGTAAATTTTTCGTTGCTGATCATGAGGTAATATTTTTTCGGTCTGGATTGATTTGGTGTTTGGAAGAACTTGCCCCCATCACATTTCGAGAATTAAACCCGAGTTTCCATGGACTCTTCAACAGTACAGATCGTATGTATTACAATGGCAATATGCTGAGAAAAGATTTATTTAAATAAAAAGTAGCATTTCAAGGGTTAAAGGTAATGTTTATTATAATCACGTGACTTGGGATATTTGAACATTCGCCTTACTCTCTATTAGCAACACAACAGATAGCTACTGCACAGCCATGTTTGCATCATCTTTCTTTATCACTATGTACGTATTGTAATTAATTCTCATTTCTAATCATCTTATTTATCCCCTGTATTTTCTTTGCTTCGTCTTTCTCTCTCCCGTTTCTTCTTCCCTTATTCTCTTTCCCATCTGTCCGTTTCTTTCTTACTCGTCCTGTTCCTTTTACCTTTGTCACGCTCTTCTTATTCCCTTCTCTTCCTCGCCATCCCGTAATTATTTTCCCTTGTCCTTCCTTCTCTTCATCCTATTCTTGTCTCACGTGTCACGCGTCGCTGCTGCCAACAGGAGGAATACCTCGCCGAGTCCTTCAACATGTTCCTAGACCACTCGCTGCAGCTGCTAAGGAAGCATCGTCAGCTCTTCCCGCCACACAACAGAGTCGCCATGTGCCGCCTCGAATACCTGCTCAGGTACGCTGATTCACTGAATGATTTATTCCTTGTTGTCACCATATCAGCCATTTGTCTTCCTCACGTAGTAAAATGGCACGTCTCCAGCCTTGTTTAATGTACTAAACCGCAGTTTATAAACGACAACTCGGCGTCTCCTAT